GAGTGAGTGAACGGTGAGCGAGTGAACGGTGAGCGAGTGAGTGAACGGTGAGTGAGTGAGTGAACGGTGAGGGAGGGAACGGTGAGTGAGCGAGTGAACGGTGAGCGAGTGAACGGTGAGCGAGTGAACGGTGAGCGAGTGAGTGAACGGTGAGCGAGTGAACGGTGAGCGAGTGAACGGTGAGGGAGGGAACGGTGAGTGAGCGAGTGAACGGTGAGCGAGTGAACGGTGAGTGAGCGAGTGAACGGTGAGCGAGTGAACGGTGAGCGAGTGAACGGTGAGCGAGTGAACGGTGAGCGAGTGAGTGAACGGTGAGTGAGTGAGTGAACGGTGAGCGAGGGAACGGTGAGTGAGTGAGTGAACGGTGAGCGAGTGAACGGTGAGCAAGTGAACGGTGAGCGAGTGAACGGTGAGTGAGTGAACGGTGAGCGAGTGAACGGTGAGCGAGTGAACAGTGAGGGAACGGTGAGTGAGCGAGCGAGGGAACGGTGAGGGAGCGAGTGAGCGAGCGAGGTGGACGTGGGGTGGTGGTGGTGGTGACCTTTCCCGAGCTGCGGACGCCGCGGAAGAGACAGAGCCAGATGATGACCCAGGCCAGCAGGAGACAGCCGGCTAGCTCACCCCTCACTCTGCCGGGGTCGTGAAGACCCTGGGTGGACCCCACCTGCAGCACGCGCTCACTGGGGTAGGAGATCAGCCGTGGTCACTCACTCAGGGGTCGTGAAGACCCTGGGTGGACCCCACTTAGAGCACTCACTGGGGTAGGGAGTCAGCCGTGGTCACTCACTCAGGGGTCGTGAAGACCCTGGGTGGACCCCACCTGCAGCACGCGCTCACTGGGGTAGGAGATCAGCCGTGGTCACTCACTCAGGGGTCGTGAAGACCCTGGGTGGACCCCACTTAGAGCACTCACTGGGGTCGGGGGTCAGCTGTGGTGACTCACTCAGGGGTCGTTAAGACCCTGGGTGGACCCCACCTGGAGCACGTGCTCACTGGGGTAAGAGATCAGCCGTGGTCACTCACTCAGGGGTCGTGAAGACCCTGGGTGGACCCCACCTGGAGCACGCGCTGGGGTTGGGAGTCAGCTGTGGTCACTCACTCAGGGGTCGTGAAGACCCTGGGTGGACCCCACTTAGAGCACTCACTGGGGTAGGAGATCAGCCGTGGTCACTGACTCAGGGGTCGTGAAGACCCTGGGTGGACCCCACTTAGAGCACTCACTGGGGTAGGGAGTCAGCCGTGGTCACTGACTCAGGGGTCGTGAAGACCCTGGGTGGACCCCACTTAGAGCACTCACTGGGGTAGGGAGTCAGCTGTGGTCACTCACTCAGGGGTCGTGAAGACCCTGGGTGGACCCCACTTAGAGCACTCACTGGGGTAGGGGGTCAGCCGTGGTCACTCACTCAGGGGTCGTGAAGACCCTGGGTGGACCCCACTTAGAGCACTCACTGGGGTAGGGGGTCAGCCGTGGTCACTGACTCAGGGGTCGTGAAGACCCTGGGTGGACCCCACTTAGAGCACTCACTGGGGTAGCGAGTCAGCTGTGGTCACTGACTCAGGGGTCGTGAAGACCCTGGGTGGACCCCACCTGGAGTCTGACTTACTAGAGTGACTTACTAGAGTGACTTACTAGAGTCTGACTTACTAGAGTGACTTACTAGAGTGACTTACTAGAGTGACTTACTAGAGGACTTGCTAGAGTCTGACTTACTAGAGTGACTTACTAGAGTGATCTTCTTTGGTTCTTTCGGTAAAGTCACGTAGAATGAGAATAAAATAATAAATTGATAAAATAACACAATAATATTCTCGCAACGTTTCGGCCACAACACAAGCGGCCTTCATCAGGTGAAGGGACGAGACTGTCTGGGTAGGACAGCGCTGGAGTGAAAGAGCCACGTTCAGATCACGGCCTTTAAGCCTCAAATTTCAGCACCACGGATAGCTACGGGCCCCGTTCAGACGGACGAGTTCGTCCATGGTCGGAACAGAGGAGGGGGAGAGAGACAGCTGAGAGGCGCTATTATACTCCATGTTGTAAACTATACCATTAACCGTGGTGTGAGAGGTATTAAGAGTCAATGCTGGCGAAAGAGCTGCGGTCTGAAGGTCATCGTAAAATACAATTAATTAAGAACAGAAATGGTTTAAAACATCTTTCCAATGGTTACTAAGCCAGAATCCATCTTCTCGGTTGAAATTGTCTCTGTGCTTGTATATGTGAATGGCCTCATGAACGAATCTCTCATGGTAGCCGGTTGGTTTGCAAAGAACCTCCGTCTTGGAGAAGTCAATGTCATGTGAGCCCACTGAATTATAACAGTGATCTGCCACGGCAGAGGAGTTCGTCCTACCGTGTTTCAAGTCTGCTTTATGTTCGCGGATGCGGTCCGAGATATGTCTTTTGGTTTCTCCAATGTAGCTACTACCACAGAGGCACTTTAGTTTGTAAACGCCCGGGTACTGTATGTCTGGAACAGCATCTTTTACAGATGGAACTAAATCACGGATTTTATGTACTGTGTTGAATCGGACCTGGATCTTGTGTTTATTCAGGATTTTGGAGATCTTTTTAGTGACCCCTGCAATGTAGGGTAACTTACCAGAGTGACTTACTAGAGTGACTTACCAGAGTGGCTTACTAGAGTGACTTACTAGAGTCTGACTTACTAGAGTGACTTAGTGGAGCGGCTTACTGGAGTGGTGTACTAGAGTGACTTACTAGAGGAATCTGGCTTACCAGAGTGACTTACTAGAGTGACTTACTAGAGGAGCCTGAATTACTAGAGCGGCTTACTAGAGTGGCTTACTAGAGGAGTCTGGCTTACTGGAGTGGCTTACTAGAGTGACTTACTAGAGTGACTTACAAGAGTGACTTACTAGAGTGACTTACTAGAGGAGCCTGACTTACTAGAGTGACTTACTAGAGCGACTTACTAGAGCCTGGCTTACTAGAGTGACTTACTAGAGCGTGATTTACTAGAGTGACTTACTGGAGTGGCTTACTAGAGTGGCTTACTAGAGTGGCTTACTAGAGTCTGACTTACCAGAGTCTGACTTACTAGAATGACTTACTAGAGTGACTTACTAGAGTGGCTTACTAGAGTCTGACTTGCTAGAGTCTGACTTACTAGAGTGACTTACTAGAGTGGTTTACTAGAGTCTGACTTACTAGAGTCTGACTTACTAGAGTCTGACTTACTAGAGTGACTTACTAGAGTGACTTACTAGAGTGACTTACTAGAGTCTGACTTACTAGAGTCTGACTTACTAGAATGACTTACTAGAGTGACTTACTAGAGTGACTTGCTAGAGTATGACTTACTAGAGTCTGACTTACTAGAGTGACTTACTAGAGCGACTTACTAGAGTGACTTACTAGAGTGACTTACTAGAGTGGCTTACTAGAGTCTGACTTACTAGAGTCTGACTTACTAGAGTGACTTACTAGAGTGACTTACTAGAGGAGTCTGGCTTACTAGAGTGACTTGCTGGAGTCTGATTTACTAGAGTGGCTTGCCAGAGTGACTTACTAGAGTCTGACTTACTAGAGTGATTTACTAGAGTCTGACTTACTAGAGTGACTTAGTGGAGCGGCTTACTGGAGTGGTGTACTAGAGTGACTTACTAGAGGAATCTGGCTTACCAGAGTGACTTACTAGAGTGACTTACTAGAGGAGCCTGAATTACTAGAGTGGCTTACTAGAGTGGCTTACTAGAGGAGTCTGGCTTACTGGAGTGGCTTACTAGAGTGACTTACTAGAGTGACTTACAAGAGTGACTTACTAGAGTGACTTACTAGAGTGACTTACTAGAGGAGCCTGACTTACTAGAGTGACTTACTAGAGTGACTTACTAGAGCCTGGCTTACTAGAGTGACTTACTAGAGCCTGATTTACTAGAGTGACTTACTGGAGTGGCTTACTAGAGTGGCTTACTAGAGTGGCTTACTAGAGTCTGACTTACCAGAGTCTGACTTACCAGAGTCTGACTTACTAGAATGACTTACTAGAGTGACTTACTAGAGTGACTTACTAGAGTCTGACTTGCTAGAGTCTGACTTACTAGAGTGACTTACTAGAGTGACTTACTAGAGTGACTTACTAGAGTCTGACTTACTAGAGTCTGACTTACTAGAGCGACTTACTAGAGCGACTTACTAGAGTCTGACTTACTAGAGTCTGACTTACTAGAGTGACTTACTAGAGTGGCTTACTAGAGTCTGACTTACTAGAGTCTGACTTACTAGAGTGACTTACTAGAGTGACTTACTAGAGGAGTCTGGCTTACTAGAGTGACTTGCTGAAGTCTGATTTACTAGAGTGGCTTACTAGAGTGACTTACTAGAGTCTGACTTACTAGAGTGATTTACTAGAGTCTGACTTACTAGAGTGACTTACTGGAGTGACTTACTAGAGTGACTTGCTCGAGCGGCTTACTAGAGTGGCTTACTAGAGTGACTTACTAGAGTCTGACTTACCAGAGTGACTTACTGGAGTGGCTTACTGGAGTGACTTACTGGAGTGGCTTATTAGAGGAGTCTGACTTACTAGAGTGACTTACTAGAGTGACTTACTAGAGTGACTTATTAGAATCTGTCTTACTAGAGTGACTTACCAGAGTGACTTACTAGAGTCTGACTTACTAGAGTGACTTACTAGAGTGACTTACTAGAGTCTGACTTACTAGAGTGACTTACTAGTGACTTACTAGAGAGACTTACTAGAGAGACTTACCAGAGTGGCTTACTAGAGTGACTTACCAGAGTGACTTACTAGAGTGACTTACTAGAGTGAATTACTAGAGTGATTTACTAGAGTGACTTGCTAGAGTGACTTACTAGAGTCTGACTTACTAGAGTGACTTACTAGAGTCTGACTTACTAGAGTGACTTACTAGAGTGACTTACTAGAGTGACTTACTGGAGTGACTTACTAGAGTGACTTACTAGAGTGACTTACTAGAGTGACTTACTAGAGTGACTTACTAGAGTGACTTACTAGAGTCTGACTTACTAGAGTGACTTACTAGAGTCTGACTTACTAGAGTGACTTACTAGAGTCTGACTTACTAGAGTGATTTACTAGAGTGACTTACTAGAGTGACTTACTGGAGTGACTTACTAGAGTGGCTTACCAGAGTGACTTGCTAGAGTGACTTACTAGAGTGACTTACTAGAGTGACTTACTGGAGTGACTTACTAGAGTAACTTACTAGAGTGGCTTACTAGAGGAGCCTGACTTACTAGAGTGATTTACTAGAGTGACTTACTGGAGTGACTTACTAGAGTCTGACTTACTAGAGTGACTTACTAGAGTGACTTACTAGAGTGATTTACTAGAGTGACTTACTAGAGTCTGACTTACTAGAGTGACTTACTAGAGTGACTTACTAGAGTGACTTACTAGAGTCTGACTTACTAGAGTCTGACTTACCAGAGTCTGACTTACTAGAGTGACTTACTAGAGTGACTTACTAGAGTGACTTACTAGAGTGACTTATTAGAGTGACTTACTAGAGTCTGACTTACTAGAGTCTGACTTACTAGAGTCTGACTTACTAGAGTCTGACTTACTAGAATGACTTACTAGAGTGACTTACTAGAGTGAATTACTAGAGTGACTTACTAGAGTGACTTACTAGAGTGACTTACTAGAGTCACTTACTAGAGTGACTTACTAGAGCCTGATTTACTAGAGTGACTTACTAGAGTGACTTACTAGAGTGACTTACTAGAGTGGCTTACTAGAGGAGTCTAACTTACTAGAGTGACTTACTAGAGTGACTTACTAGAGTGACTTACTAGAGTGAATTACTAGAGTGACTTACTAGAGTGACTTACCAGAGTGACTTACTAGAGTCTGACTTACTAGAGCGACTTACTAGAGCGACTTACTAGAGCGACTTACTAGAGTGACTTACTAGAGCCTGACTTGCTAGAGTGACTTACTAGAGTGACTTACTAGAGTGACTTACTAGAGTGACTTACTGGAGTCCGACTTACTTGACTCTGACTTACTAGAGTGACTTACTAGAGTGACTTACTAGAGTGACTTACTAGAGCGACTTACTAGAGCGGCTTACCAGAGCGACTTACTAGAGCGGCTTACTAGAGTGACTTGCTAGAGTCTGGCTTACTAGAGTGACTTACTAGAGGAGTGTGTCTCTGCGTGGTGACACTCACTTCCAGAACACCTCGCTCGGCGTGGCGTGGGTCTCGTTCAAGGTCAGGTTCTGTGCGAGGAATAGAATCATCATCATCATCAGCATCATCATCAGCAGCAGCGTCATCATCATCAACAGCAGCGTCATCATCATCATCAGCATCATCATCAGCAGCAGCAGCGTCATCATCATCAGCAGCAGCGTCATCATCAGCAGCAGCAGTGTCATCATCATCATCATCAGCAGCAGCAGCGTCATCATCATCAGCGTCATCATCATCAGCAGCAGCAGCGTCATCATCATCAGCAGCAGCGTCATCATCATCATCAACAGCAGCAGCGTCATCATCAGCAGCAGCGTCGTAATCAGCAGTATCATCATTAGCACCAGCATGATAATCATCATCAGTATAATCATCATCACCAGCAGAATCATCATGATCAGCTTCATCATGATCATCAGCAGCAGTTACCATCACCCTCCTACTGACAGCAGACTGACGCACAGAGACAGCTGCCACTGGGGGTGCCCCTAGGCTGTGTGGGGTCTGTGTGGGGTCTGTGTGTGTGTATCTGTGTGTGTGTGTCTGTGTGTGTGTATCTGTGTGTGTGTATCTGTGTGTGTGTGTATCTGTGTGTGTGTATCTGTGTGTGTGTATCTGTGTGTGTGTATCTGTGTGTGTGTGTGTATCTGTGTGTGTGTATATCTGTGTGTGTGTATCTGTGTGTGTGTCTCTGTGTGTGTGTATCTGTGTGTGTGTGAATCTGTGTGTGTGTATTTGTGTGTATGTGTGTATCTGTGTGAAGTGTATGTGTGTGTGTCTGTCTGTGTGTGTGTCTGTGTGTGTTTGTGTGTGTATGTGTCTGTGTGTGTGTGTCTGTGTGCCTGTGTGTGTGTGTTTGTGTGTGTTTGTGTATGTCTGTGTGTGTGTCTGTGTGTGTGTCTGTGTGTGTGTCTCTGTGTGTGTGTCTCTGTGTGTGTGACTCTGTGTGTGTGTCTGTGTGTGTGTCTGTGTATGTGTGTCTGTGTATGTGTGTCTGTGTATGTGTGTCTGTGTGTGTGTATCTGTGTGTGTGTATCTGTGTGTGTGTGTGTATCTGTGTGTGTCTGTGTGTCTGTGTCTGTGTGTCTGTGTGTGTCTGTGTGTGTGTGTTTGTGTGTGTCTGTGTGTGTGTCTGTGTGTGTGTGGGGGTACCGTGCACAGGTGCTGGTTGTTTGGTGCTTCGCAGGCCCAGGGCAGGGGACTCTGGAAGGAGCTGAAGAGGTAGAAGAGTGTCCAGGCGATGATCACCACGTAGTAGAGACTCACCAGCACGGAGAGTATCAACATAGCGTAGCCTATACCTACACACACACAGATACAGATACACACACAGATACAGATACACAGATACATACACACACAGATACACACACACAGATACAGATACACACACAGATACAGATACACACACAAATACACACACAGATACAGATACACACACAGATACAGATACACACGCAGATACACACACACACAGATACAGATACACACACACAGATACAGATACACACACAGATACACAGATACACACACACACACAGATACAGATACACACACACAGATACAGATACACACACATATACACATAGATACACACAGATACACAGATACACACACAGATATACACACACAGACACACACACACACACATAGATACACACACACACAGATACAGATACACAAACAGATACACACACACACAGATACAGATACACAAACAGATACAGATACACACACACACAGATACAGATACACACGCAGATACAGATACACACACATAGATACACACGCAGATACAGATACACACACATAGATACACACACAGATACACACACAGATACACACACAGATACAGATACACACAGATACACACACAGATATACACACACACACAGATACACAACAACAACCGCCATTCGCCACTAAGTGGCGGTGACGTCACCACAACGCTTGTGCCAGGACATGTGCACCTTGAGGCCACGTGGAGTGTCGAACGCCCGCTGGCAGGAGGTCACGGGGCAGACCCAGGTGCCATGGGTCGACTGACTGAGATGACTGGCTGATGCACCACCTGTGCCCCCTACTGTGCCAACCTGCTATGCTTTAGCCACCCGGCACTCCGCTCGTTGTTGTGAGCGTCGCTCCTCCGCCCTCCGTTGTTGTAAGGCGACTACCTCCAACTGCCCAGTAGCGTCCTTCACGAGCCTCCTCCACAGAGGCCGATCTTGACACCGCTGGTACCAGTCATCGGCAAGTCCACTCAGCTCCACGTCCTCCTGTACCACATCACTCCATCTCTTCTCTAGCCCGTGCCGCGCCCGCTTAGCCCCCTCGATCCGGCCAAACAAAAGCTGTTTCGGCATGCGGTGGGTGGGCATGCGGGCTACATGACCCAGCCATCGCAGCCTTGCCCGTCGGAGGAGTTCACCGATGGGACCTTGCCCAGATCTTTCAAGGATTTGTGAGCTCCTCACACAATCCAGTCTGGTTAAACCCAAGATGGATCGTAGGCAGGCCAGCCTAAATGTTTCTAACCGGCGAAGATGTTACATTAGGGGGGTCCACGTTTCGCAAGCGTAGAGAAGGGAGGGAATGACCGTGGCCGAGAAGACCTGAAGCTTAGTGCGGAGCGACAGACCAGGTAGCTTCCACACAGCGTTATGCAACCAATGAAAAGATATTGCCGCTCGACTGATTCGGAGTGAGACCTCTGCTGTTAAACTGGAGCTGGTCATAAGCACACTTCCCAGGTATGGGAAACTCTCCACTCTCTCCACAACTCCCCCATCACCGATTGGAAGTTGTGGGGGTGGAGTGTCCGATGGTACAAAATACCCAGGCAGGTGCTTAGTTTTGGTGGGGCTGATGGTAAGGCCCCACCTCTTAGTGGCACGCTCCAGTCTCAGCAGCAGCGTCTCCAACTCCTCCTCTGAATGAGCAGCTATTACCAAATCATCAGCATACATAACGTGGTTGAGCAATAGGGAGCCATCCCTTGACCGCACCCGGGCATCGATCAGCCTCCCATTATATCTGTACCATATGGAGATTCCCCCGGTAGAGCTATTGAAGGCTTCACGAACTTCGTGGTCAAAAAAGATGTTAAATAATGTGGGAGCCAGATGACATCCCTGTCGCACCCCAAGGTGTACACGGAATGGCTCTGACTCCCGGCCACGTAGTTTTACCCGGGCCCGCTCACTATCATGAAGGTCCATAATGATCGTGAGCAGAGGGTCAGGGACTCCAAAAGCACGAAGAACAACCCAGAGCCCAGGCCTACTGATGGTATCATAGGCCTTGACCAGGTCAATAAAGCAGAGATGTAGGTATTGTTGGAATTCCCTACACCTCTGCTGTAGCAGATGGACAGAAAATATGGCATCTGTGCAGGACCGCCCTTTCCTGAAACCGCATTGGGGCTCCGCAAGCCTCTCCTCAGCGTGCCTGGCAAGGCGATGTTGAAAAATAATCCTTGCCAGGACCTTTCCCGGCACACTGAGGAGTGAGATGCCCCTGTAGTTGTTACAGTCTGTGCGGTCCCCCTTCTTAAAGAGGGGGACCACCAGGGCATCCTTCCAATCCTGCGGAACCCGTCCAGTGGTCCAGACTGTTGTTATGATCTCATGTAGGGCAGTCTGAGATACACACAGATACACACACAAACACATACACAGATTCACACAGATACATACACACATATACTATATTGTATAGTAGTGGTGTACAGTGTAGTGTACGGTGTAGTGTACAGTGTAGTGTATAGTTGTGTACTGTATAGTAGTGTAGTGTATAGTGTAGTGTATAGTGTAGTGTATAGTGTAGCGTATAGTGTTGTGTGTAGTGTAGTGTATAGTAGTGTAGTGTATATCAGTGTAGTGTATAGTGTAGTGTATAGTAGTGTAGTGTATAGTAGTGTCTGGTAGTGTACTGTATAGTGTAGTTTATAGTGTAGTGTAGTGTATATCAGTGTAGCGTATAGTGTAGTGGATAGTGTGTATTGTAGTGTATAGTGTAGTGTGTATTGTAGTGTATAGTGTAGTGTATAATGTAGTGTATAGTGTAGTGTATAATGTAGTGTATAGTAGTGTATAGTGTAGTGTATAGTGTATAGTGTAGTGTATAGTAGTGTATAATGTCCTGCATAGTGTAAAGTATAGTAGTGTATAGTAGTGTATAGTAGTGTATAGTGTAGTGTATAGTGTAGTGTATAGTTGTGTACTGTATAGTAGTGTAGTGTATACTGTAGTGTATAGTGTAGTGTGTAGTGTATAGTGTTGTGTGTAGTGTAGTGTATAGTAGTGTAGTTTATAGTGTAGTGTATAGTAGTGTATATCAGTGTAGTGTATATCAGTGTAGTGTATAGTAGTGTAGTGTATAGTGTAGTGTATAGTAGTGTAGTGTATAGTAGTGTATGGTAGTGTATAGTGTAGTGTATAGTGTAGTGTAGTGTATATCAGTGTAGCGTATAGTGTAGTGTATAGTGTGTATTGTAGTGTATAGTGTGTATTGTAGTGTATAGTGTAGTGTATAATGTAGTGAATAATGTAGTGTATAGTGTAGTGTATATCAGTGTAGTGTATAGTAGTGTATAGTAGTGTAGTGTATAGTGTAGTATATAATGTAGTGTATAGTAGTGTATAGTGTATAGTGTAGTGTATAGTGTAGTGTATAGTGTAGTGTATAGTGTAGTGTATAATGTCCTGCATAGTGTAATGTATTGTAGTGTATACTAGTGTATAGTAGTGTGTAGTGTAGTGTATAGTGTAGTGTATAGTGTAGTGTATAGTACAGTGTATAGTGTAGTGTATAGTACAGTGTATAGTGTAGTGTATAGTGTAGTGTATAGCAGTGTAGTGTATAGTGCCGTGCATAGTGCAGTGTATAGTGTAGTGTATAGTAGTGTATAGTGTAGTGTATATTGTAGTGCATAGTAGTGTATGGTAGTGTAGTGTATAGTGTAGTGTATAGTAGTGTAGTGTATAGTAGTGTAGTGTATAGTAGTGTAGTGTATAGTGTAGTGTATAGTAGTGTAGTGTATAGTGTAGTGTATAGTAGTGTAGTGTATAGTGTAGTGTATAGTAGTGTAATGTATAGTGTATTGTATAGTAGTGTAGTGTAGTGTATAGTGTAGTGTATAGTAGTGTAGTGTATAGTAGTGTAGTGTATAGTGTAGTGTAGTGTATAGTGTAGTGTATAGTAGTGTAGTGTATAGTGTAGTGTATAGTAGTGTATAGTAGTGTAGTGTATAGTGTATAGCATTGTATAGTGTAGTGTATAGTATAGTGTATAGTGTAGTCTGTAGTGTAGTAGTGTAGTGTATAGTAGTGTATAGTGTAGTGTATAGTGTAGTGTATAGTGTAGTGTATAGTGTAGAGTATAGTGTAGAGTATAGTAGTGTATAGTGTAGTGTATAGTGTAGTGTATAGTGATGTATAGTAGTGTATAGTCTAGTGTATAATGTAGTGTATAGTGTAGTGTATAGTATAGTGTAGTGTATAGTAGTGTATAGTGTAGTGTATAGTCTAGTGTATAGTGTAGTGTATAGTGTAGTCTGTAGTGTAGTAGTGTAGTGTATAGTAGAGTATAGTGTAGGGTATAGTAGTGTAGTGTATAGTGCAGTGTATCGTAGTGTAGTGTATAGTGCAGTGTATAGTAGCATAGTGTATAGTGTAGTGTATAGTAGTGTAGTGTATAGTGTAGTGTATAGTAGTGTAGTGTATAGTGCAGTGTATAGTAGTGTAGTGTATAGTAGTGTATAGTGTAGTGCATAGTGTAGTGTATAGTAGTGTAGTGTATAGTGTAGTGTATAGTATTGTAGTGTATAATGTAGTGTATAGTGCTGTGACTGCCGTCGCAGAAGATCCCCGACTAACCGCACAGCACTTGCCCCGCCAGCCTGCTGGAGGCTACCTGGGGGTGGTGGTGGTGGTGCTCACCTTTGCACGTGCGGCCGCTGTGAGCTCACCTGTAAGGATGGGGCAGCATCGCCACACGGCCAAGGGGCCCAAGGCACTGAACTGGCCCAGGCTGAGCTCCATGAGGAAGACTGGGAGGCCGCACAGAGCCAGCATGAGCAGGTAGGGGATGAGGAAGGCGCCTACACACACACAACAACCGCCATTCGCCACTAAGTGGCGGTGACGTCACCACGACGCTTGTGCCAGGCTATGTGCACCCTGAGGCCACGTGAAGTGTCGAACGCCCGCTGGCAGGAGGTCACGGGGCAGACCCAGGTGCCACGGGTCGACTGACTGAGATGACTGGCTGATGCACCACCTGTGCCCCCTTCTGTGCCAACCTGCTGTGCTTTAGCCACCCGGCGCTCCGCTCGCTGTTGTGAGCGTCGCTCCTCCGCCCTCCGTTGTTGTTGGAGGGCGACTGCCTCCAACTGCCCAGTAGCATCCTTCACGAGCCTCCTCCACAGAGGCCGATCTTGACACCGCTGGTACCAGTCATCGGCAAGTCCACTCAGCTCCACGTTCTCTTGTACCACATCACTCCATCTCTTCTCTAGCCCGTGCCGCGCCCGCTTAGCCCCCTCAATCCTGCCAAACAAAAGCTGTTTCGGCATGCGGTGGCTGGGCATGCGGGCTACATGACCCAGCCATCGCAGCCTTGCCTGCCGGAGGAGCTCACCGATGGGACCCTGCCCAGATCTTTCAAGGATTTGTGAGCTCCTCACACAATCCAGTCTGGTTAAACCCAGGATGGATCGTAGGCAGGCCAGCCTAAATGTTTCCAACCGGCGAAGATGTTCCATTAGGGGGGTCCACGTTTCGCAAGCGTAGAGAAGGGAGGGAATGACCGTGGCCGAGAAGACCTGAAGCTTAGTGCGGAGCGACAGACCAGGTAGCTTCCACACAGCGTTACGCAACCGATGAAAAGATATTGCCGCTCGACTGATTCGGAGTGAGACCTCTGCTGTTAAACTGGAGCCAGTCATAAGCACAGTCATAAGCACACTGCCCAGGTATGGGAAACTCTCCACTCTCTCCACAACTGCCCCATCACCGATTGGGAGTTGTGGGGGTGGAGTGTCCGATGGTACAAAATACCCAGGCAGGTGCTTAGTTTTGGTGGGGCTGATGGTAAGGCCCCACCTCTTAGTGGCACGCTCCAGTCTCAGCAGCAGCGTCTCCAACTCCTCCTCTGACTGAGCAGCTATTACCAAGTCATCAGCATACATAACGTGGTTGAGCAATAGGGAGCCATCCCTTGACCGCACCCGGGCATCGATTAGCCTCCCATTATATCTGTACCATATGGAGATTCCCCCGGTACAGCTATTGAAGGCTTCACGAACCACGTGAAGCCTTCACACACACACACACAGACACACACACCTACCCAGTCACCCACTCACCCAGTCACTCACTCACCCACTCACTCACCCACTCACCCACTCACTCACCCACTCACTCACTCACCCAGTCACCCAGTCACGCACCCATTCACTCACCCACTCACCCACTCACTCAGCCACTCACCCACTCACTCAGCCACTCACTCACCCAACCCACTCACCCACCCACCTACACACCCACTAACCCACCCACCCACCCACTAACCCACTAACCCACCCACCTCCACCGTTGCGGTAACACAGGTAAGGGAACCTCCACACGTTGCCCAGGCCCACTCACTCACCCACTCACCCTCTCACCCACTCACCCTCTCACCCACTCACCCTCTCACCCACTCACCCTCTCACCCTCTCACCCACTCAGCCACTCAGCCACTCAGCCACTCAGCCACTCAGCCACTCAGCCACTCAGCCACTCAGCCACTCAGCCACTCACTCACCCACTCACTCACTCACTTACCCACTTACCCACTTACCCACTAACCCACTCACCCACTCACCCACCCACCCACCCACTCACCCACCCACTCATTTACTCACCCACCCACTCACTTACTCACCCACCCACTCACCCACTCACCCACCCACCCACCTCCACCGTTGAGGTAACACAGGTAAGGGAACCTCCACACGTTGCCAAGGCCCACGCACTCACTCACTCACTCAGCCACTCACCCACCCACCCAGTCACTCACCCACCCACACACTCACACACCCACTAACCCACCCACCCACTCACCCACTAACCCACTCACCCACCCACTAACCCACCCACCCACTCACCCACTAACCCACTCACTCACCCACTCACTCACCCACCCACTCACCCACCCACCCACTCACCCACTCACCCACCCACCCACTAACTCACCCACCCACCCAGTCACTCACCCACCCACACACTCACCCACCCACTAACCCACCCACCCACTCACCCACTAACCCACTCACTCACCCACTCACTCACCCACCCACTCACCCACCCACCCACCCACTCACCCACCCACCCACCCACTCACCCACCCACCCACTCACCCACTCACCCACCCACCCACCCACTCACCCACTCACCCACCCACCCACTCACCCACCCACCCACTAACCCACCCACCCACCCACCTCCACCGTTGCGGTAACACAGGTAAGGGAACCTCCACACGTTGCCCAGGCCCACGCAGTATCTCACTCAGCCACTCACTCACTCACTCACCCACTCACTCACCCACTCACCCACCCACTCACCCACCCACCCAGTCACTCACCCACTCACCCACCCACCCACTCACCCACCCACCCACCTACTAACCCACCCACTCACTCACTCACCCACTCACTCACTCACCCACTCACTCACCCACTAACCCACTCACCCACTCACCCACCCACTCACCCACCCACCCACTCACCGACCCACCCACTCACCCACCCACCCACTCACCCACCCACTCACTCAGCCACCCACCCACTCACTCACCCACCCACCCACTCACTCAGTCACTCACTCACCCACTCAGCCACCCACTCACTCACTCACCCACCCACTCACTCAGCCACCCACCCACTCACTCACCCACTCACTCACCCACCCACTCACCCACCCACCCACCCACTCACCCACTCACCCACCCACCCACCCACTCACCCACCCACCCACCTACTAACCCACCCACTCACTCACTCACCCACTCACTCACCCACCAACCCACCCACCCACTCACCCACCCACTAACCCACTCACTCACCCACTCACTCACCCACCCACTCACCCACCCACCCACTCACCCACTCACCCACCCACCCACTAACCCACCCACCCACCCACCTCCACCGTTGCGGTAACACAGGTAAGGGAACCTCCACACGTTGCCCAGGCCCACGCAGTATCTCACTCAGCCACTCACTCACTCACTCACCCACCCACTCACTCACCCACTCACCCACCCACTCACCCACCCACCCAGTCACTCACCCACTCACCCACCCACCCACTCACCCACCCACCCACCTACTAACCCACCCACTCACTCACTCACCCACTAACCCACTCACCCACTCACCCACCCACCCACTCACCCACCCACCCACCCACTCACCCACCCACCCACCCACTCACCCACCCACCCACTCACCCACCCACCCACTCACCCACCCACTCACTCAGCCACCCACCCACTCACTCATCCACCCACCCACTCACTCAGGCACTCACTCACCCACTCAGCCACCCACTCACTCACTCACCCACCCACTCACTCAGCCACCCACCCACTCACTCACCCACCCACTCACCCACCCACCCACCCACTCACCCACTCACCCACCCACCCACCCACTCACCCACCCACCCACCTACTAACCCACCCACTTACTCACTCACCCACTCACTCACCCACCAACCCACCCACCCACTCACCCACCCACTAACCCACTCACTCACCCACTCACTCACCCACCCACTCACCCACACACCCACTCACCCACTCACCCACCCACCCACTAACCCACCCACCCACCCACCTCCACCGTTGCGGTAACACAGGTAAGGGAACCTCCACACGTTGCCCAGGCCCACGCAGTATCCCAGCAGCGAGAGGAGGAACTCCATCCGCCCCCCCCATTGCTCGCGGGGGCTCCCGGGGGGCTCCCCCCTTCCCCCCTCCCCCATCCCCTCCAAGCCCTCGAAGGAGCCCTCGGGACCGGGGGTCTCGTAGGGCCCAACCAGGCCAGCCTCCCAGGCACCCTGTGACAGCAGCAGCAGCAGCACATAGCACACACATAGCACACATAGTACACACACAGCACACACACATAGTACACACACACACACATAGCACACACACACATAGCACACACATAGCACACACACACATAGCACACACACACATAGTACACACATAGCACACACATAGCACAAACACATAGCACACACACATAGCACACACACAGCACACACACACAGTACACACACATAGCACACACACATAGTACACACATATAGTACACACATAGCACACACACATAGCACACACACATAGCACACACACAGCACACAGCACAGCAGCACACACATAGTACACACATAGCACACACACATAGCACACACACATAGCACACACACATAGCACACACATAGTACACACACATAGTACACACATAGCACACACACAGCACACACACAGCACACAAGACACACATAGCACACACACACAGCACACACATAGCACACAAACATAGCACACAACACACACACAGCACACACACACATAGCACACAGCACACACACACAGCACACACAGCACACACACACAGCACACACACATAGCACACACACACGCATAGCACACACACACCACACATACCACACACACATATCACACACACACACAGCACACACACATAGCACACACACACATAGCACACACACACACAGCACACACACACACATAGCACACACACACACATAGCACACACACACACACATAGCACACACACATACCACACACACACACACATAGCACACACACATACCACACACACATAGCACACACACACACATACCACACACACATAGCACACACACACACATAGCACACACACAGCACACACCACACACATAGCACACACACATAGCACACACACACGCATAGCACACACACACGCATAGCACACACACACCACACACACACATACCACACACACACATACCACACACACACACAGCACACACACATAGCACACACACATAGCACACACACACATAGCACACACACACATAGCACACACACACATAGCACACACACACACACATAGCACACACACATAGCACACACACACAGCACACACACACAGCACACACACACACATAACACACGCACACATAGCACACACACATAGCACACACACACATAGCACCCACACACATAACACACACACATAGCACACACACACACATAACACACACACATAACACACACACATAACACACACACATAGCACACACACACATAGCACACACACACATAGCACACACACACATAGCACACACACATAACACACACACACATAGCACACACACATAACACACACACACACATAGCACACACACACATAGCACACACACACAGCACACACACACACACATAGCACACACACACATAACACACACACACATAGCACACACACACCAACACACAGCACACACACAGCACACACACACAGTGGGGGGGGGGGGGTGGAGTGGTGGGTGGAGTGGTGGGTGGAGTGGTGGGTGGAGTGGTGGGTGGAGTGGTGGGTGGCGTAGGGGGTGGAGTGATGGGTTGAGTGGTGGGTGGAGTGGGGGGTGGAGTGGTGGGTGGAGTGGTGGGTGGAGTGGTGGTTGGAGTGATGGGTGGAGTGGGGGGTGGAAAGGTGGGTGGAGTGGGGGGTGGAGTGGGGGGTGGAGTGGTGGTTGGAGTTGTGGGTGGAGTGGTGGGTGGAGTTGTGGGTGGATTGGTGGGTGAAGTGGTGGGTGGAGTGGTGGGTGGAGTGGTGGTGGGTGGAGTGGTGGGTGGAGTGGTGGGTGGAGTGATGGGTGGAGTGGTGGGTGGAGTGGGGGGTGCAGTGGTGGGTGGAGTGGTGGGTGGAGTGGTGGGGGGTGGAGTGGTGAGTGGAGTGGTGGGTGGAGTGGTGGTGGGTGGAGTGGTGATGGGTGGAGTGGTGGGTGGAGTGGTGGGTGGAGTGATGGGTGGAGTAGGGGGTGGAGTGATGGGTGGAGTGGTGGGTGGAGTAGGGGGTGGAGTGGGAGGTGGAGTTGTGGGTGGAGCGGTGGGTGAAGCGGTGGGTGGAGTGGTGGGTGGAGTGATGGGTGGAGTGATGGGTGGAGTGATGGGTTGAGTGGTGGGTGGAGTGGTGGGTGGAGTGGTGGGTGGAGTGGTGGGTGGAGTGATGGGTGGAGTGATGGGTTGAGTGGTGGGTGGAGTGGTGGGTGGAGTGATGGGTGGAGTGGTGGGTGGGGTGGTGGGTGGATTGGTGGGTGAAGTGGTGGGTGGAGTGATGGGTGGAGTGATGGGTGGAGTGATGGGTGGAGTGGTGGGTAGAGTGGTGGGTGGAGTGGTGGGTGGAGTGGTGGATGGAGTGGTGGGTGGAGTGGTGGGTGGAGTGGTGGGTGGAGTGATGGGTGGAGTGATGGGTTGAGTGGTGGGTGGAGTGGGGGGTGGAGTGGTGGGTGGGGTGGTGGGTGGAGTGGTGGGTGGAGTGGTGGGTGGAGTGGTGGGTGGAGTGATGGGTGGAGTGATGGGTGGAGTGGTGGGTAGAGTGGGGGCTGGAGTGGTGGGTGGAGTGGTGGGTGGAGTGGTGGGTGGAGTGGTGGGTGGAGTGGTGGGTGGAGTGGTGGGTGGAGTGATGGGTGGAGTGATGGGTTGAGTGGTGGGTGGAGTGGTGGGTGGAGTGGTGGGTGGAGTGGTGGGTGGAGTGATGGGTGGAGTGATGGGTTGAGTGGTGGGTGGAGTGGTGGGTGGAGTGGTGGGTGGAGTGGTGGGTGGAGTGGTGGGTGGAGTGATGGGTGGAGTGATGGGTTGAGTGGTGGGTGGAGTGGTGGGTGGAGTGGTGGGTGGAGTGGTGGATGGAGTGGTGGGTGGAGTGGTGGGTGGAGTGGTGGGTGGAGTGATGGGTGGAGTGATGGGTGGAGTGGTGGGTGGAGTGGGGGGTGGAGTGGTGGGTGGGGTGGTGGGTGGAGTGGTGGATGGAGTGGTGGGTGGAGTGGTGGGTGGAGTGGTGAGTGAAGTGGTGGGTGGATTGGTGGGTGAAGTGGTGGTGGGTGGAGTTGTGGGTGGAGTGGTGGGTGGAGTGGTGGGTGGAGTGGTGGGTGGAGTGATGGGTGGAGTGATGGGTTGAGTGGTGGGTGGAGTGGGGGGTGGAGTGGTGGGTGGGGTGGTGGGTGGAGTGGTGGATGGAGTGGTGGGTGGAGTGGTGGGTGGAGTGATGGGTGGAGTGATGGGTGGAGTGGTGGGTAGAGTGGGGGCTGGAGTGGTGGGTGGAGTGGTGGGTGGAGTGGTGGGTGAAGTGATGGGTGGAGTGGTGGGTGGAGTGGTGGGTGGAGTGGTGGGTACAGTGGGGGCTGGAGTGGTGGGTGGAGTGGTGGGTGGAGTGGTGGGTGGAGTTGTGGGTGAAGTGGTGGTAGAGTGGTGGGTGGAGTGGTGGGTGGAGTGGTGGGTGGAGTGGTGGGTGGAGTGATGGGTGGAGTGGTGGGTGGAGTGGGGGTGGAGTGGTGGGTGGAGTGGTGGGTGGAGTGGTGGGGGGTGGAGTGGTGGGTGGAGTGGGGGTGGAGTAGGGGGTGGAGTGATGGGTGGAGTAATGGGTGGAATGATGGGTGGAGTGGTGGGTGGAGTGATGGGTGGAGTAGGGGGTGGAGTGGGAGGTGGAGTTGTGGGTGGAGTGGTGGTGGAGTGA